ACCTACTGACTTCCTGCACCACCCATACACCCGCGCAGCCCTGCCCTTTATCAACGGCGGTCTAGCCGGCATGACAGCCACCGCAGTGATCCAACCAGTGGACATGGTAAAGGTGCGCCTGCAACTCGCCGGCGAAGGAGCCCGCACCGGACCCCGACCTTCGGCCCTAGGCATAACGCGCGACATTATCGCTTCTGGCAAAGCCCTGGATCTATACACCGGCCTCTCAGCCGGCCTCCTCCGTCAAGCTGTCTACACAACCGCTCGCCTAGGATTCTTCGACACATTTATCACACGGCTCAACACCCGTGCCGAAGCACAAAACCGCAGAATCACCTTCGCAGAGCGCGCCGCCGCAGGGCTGAGTGCCGGCGGTATCGCCGCGATGATTGGAAACCCGGCCGACTTGGCCCTCGTGCGCATGCAGTCGGACGGCCTCAAGCCCGCCGAAGCTCGGGCAAACTACCGCTCTGTTTTCGACGCTTTGTTCCGTATCGCCCGCGGCGAGGGAATCGGGGCGTTGTGGGCTGGTGCGTTCCCGACGGTTGTGCGGGCCATGGCGCTTAACATGGGTCAGTTGACTTTCTTTGCCGAGGCCAAGCATCAGCTCAAGCAGCATACGGCGTTGTCTGCGCAGAATCAGACGTTCGCGGCTTCGGCTATTGCCGGGTTCTTTGCTAGTTTCTTGTCGTTGCCTTTTGATTTCATCAAGACTCGTCTGCAGAAGCAGCAGAAAGACCCGGCGACTGGAAAGCTCCCTTACAAGGGGTTGATGGATTGTGCGCGCAAGGTTATTGCGGAGGAGGGTTGGTTGCGCTTCTACCGGGGCTTCGGAACTTACTACGTTCGGATCGCTCCTCATGCGTTAGTCGCCCCCACTTTCATACTTGTTCCCCACTGACTCGATCTGCAGAATGGTGACTCTCATCGTGGCCGATTATCTGAACCTCATCACCAAGTAATTGACACTGGAGTTGTCTCTGTGGTTGTTTAAATTGTCTCCGACCACAGAATTGATACCCGATCGAACAACAGCGTTGTTCAAGCTCGTCATGCACATTTACAATACTGATATCTACTACCCCATGAAAAACGCAGCTTCCGGCGGAGGGTACGCTCAAAATCAACCCGAACCAGAAATGCTACAGCTCCGCCGTTTACATCGCACGATCCCCGTCATTCATTGAGAAGCGATCCCTAATTCGATTCTTGACCGGGAAACAAACCCCCGGTGCGATTCATTTCATTTCCATCACTATTCCCTCATTATTCCGGGGAAGAAATCCACGAAAATATGTCGGAGACGATGGCCGGTCTTCCCCGCGGAAAGGCATCGGACGACAACCAGATGCTCTTTAACTGCTTCTGTTTGTGTTGACTTTACATGTTCTTCGACAAGCGAATACCCCTTGTCTTGCCCTGTTATTTTACTCGTATTTGCTTCGGTCGCGATGTTGTTACCACTGTTGTTTTCTCTCCATAGGAGTAATGAACGAGATTACGGACTACAGGACTTCCTCGCCTCGTCTGGCATTCTTCAATCGACAAACTCACGTACTCAGGATTATTCTGATACTATAGCATCCCCATAACATGGACTCAACACCTAGTCACCCCCAAGGACGTAGTAACCATGCACAAAGCATGCAACTAACCGACCAGAATTATAATCGGATACGTCCAAATCCAACACAAATCCCCCAAGACGACCACACCGAATGACCGACCCGACGAACCCCCTTGCCTAGCCTGCACCTGGACCCCAACCCTACAATCAAACCCTAACCTTCCTCTCAAAAAGAGAATCCCACCATCCCCGTTCCACGCGTCGTCACCATCTGGACAGACACCATCGGCCGCTATATATGAGGAAAACACTAGAAGAAGTATGGCCTTCCTTATTAGTAGAGTAAAAAGTTGAAATCGTAGATGAAGTCGTTCAATTTCGCGGGTTGTTGAAACCCATCCAATCGCTATATGAAGGGTGTGGGGGGTGGGTTTTATTTGCCGGCGTTGATTCTCCCTTCTTCTACTTCTTATAATAATAGGGATACGGGAGACGGTTTAGGTCTCATGGGAGATTTGGAAAGCTGTTGTTTCGACTGTTCCTGCTGGACTCCCGCTGAAGGTGGTCACGGGGACGGGTATGAAGACGCTAGGGAGTTTTGGGTGATGTGGAGGGCTTTGAGGAAATCTCCTGATTTGGATGAGAAGGAGAGGGAGGTTTAGTTCTGAGTGATACAATACAAGATAATAGGAGACGGGGCAGGATTAAAGTAGAAGTTAAGAGGAGACATGCCAACGTGCCAGGGAATTAAATCATTACAACCCAAATAATGGGCACTCGGTAAATACATAATCCCCAAGTCATGTCATCGCCTACCAACAGGCAGGCCAGGTGAAGATAAAACAAAGAAAGGAATGCACGCTAGCGGGATATCGTATGAATATAAACATCAATATCCAAGGAGCAGAATTAGAAGAAGAAGTAAAGCAGATTCGTGGGGATCGAAAAGCGCATTAATGTACCACCACCGTGTCAATATCAAGATCAAGATCAAGGTCAACTTTAGATCTTCTCATCGCCAATGCGCTTCGACTCCACAGCTCCGGGAGGAAGAACATCCTCGAGCGTCTCGTCTGTTCCAGCGAGATCCTCCTCGATAGGGACAGAGTCCTTAATCTTGAAGAAGACAACCGGTACAGCGATGAGGATGGAACCGCACAGCAGACCGAAGTTGGAGGCGTACTCGTTCATGAAGGGGAGCTTGTTGTTATCCAGACTCCACATGACGGCCGCACCGGCCGATTGCAGACCCTTGTAGAAACCGGCGAGGTTGGCGAGTTTGCGGCCAGAGTTACCGAGGGCACCCATGATCCTGATAAAGTCAGTATAAAGCATCTCAGCGGGGGATGATTTTAGTCATGTGCAATGGGAAACTCACCAGTAGACAATACCCTGCCAGATAGCATCGTACATGCCGTAGAAGAAGTACAAGAACATAGGACCAACGTAACCATCAGTAGTCCAATCCCAGCCCTTGAACTCGGGATGGATCTTAGGATCCACGTCGGCACGGGTATACTTCTTCTGCCAAGCATAACCACCACCCCAGATAATAACAGTCAAGAGGAACAGCGTGGTAAGCGCAATCTTAGCACGAACAGAGCGACGCACACGCTCGACATCCAGCAGGGGACCAATAATGACAGCAGCGACGATCTGAGCAAACCAGTACAAGAACCCGTTCAGTGACTTGGTACGAGTGTTGAAGTAGGAGCCGTTGATGGCGTTCTGCTGGTAGGTGTAGAACCAGTTGGAGGACCAGAACATGGGGAAGAGAAGGACAATCCACGGCTCGGAGCGGATTGTCTCCCAGAGACCGACGAACTCAGTTTTCCAGCTGGGCTGCTTCATGAGGATGACCCGGGAGCCATCTGGGCGGACGATCTTGTTTGCGTCACAGAGTAAGAGGGCCAGACAGGCGCCTGCGAACATGAGCACGATGAAGGCGATGTATGTGCCATCGGTGACGTTGGCGTTGGTTTTGACATTGATGTTTTGGCCGAGAGGGATCTATCACTGGTTAATATCATATCCTTGTCTCAGGCAGGGATGTGGGTGGGTCGGTTGTTATCTCCTCTCCACTTACCAAACTACCAATGCAAGCACCGACGTTAAAAATAGCCCAGAACCAGGCGAAGTAACGACCCTTCTGGTGTTCGGCCGGGTAGGACATCATGATGGTTCCCTGCGCGGCCCAGAGGAGACCAGCGCAGACACCCAGGAAGGCGCCAGCGAAGATGTTGAAGCCGGGGACATACTTGTGCTCGGAGACGATCAGACTGATGGAGTACAAGCAGTAACCGATTCCACCGAAAGAAAGGGACAGTCTAATACCCAGACGGTTGACGATAGTTCCAGCGAAGAAACCGACAACGGCGAAGGTTGAATACAGAGCGATGTTCTGTCCAGTCAGCATTCGAGGCTCATCAGAGTGGGGGCGAGAGATTCACCATTTGATCGGCGAGGGTGTGGTCGGCCTTTCCACCGCCACCCAAGCCACTCAGCGCGTTAAACATGCCAGGACACAGGAAACAGACGAAGGCGACCATGCCCAGCTGGATGCGCGGCGAGGCATACCAGCTAGTTGACCATTTGCCAATGGATCGCGATTTGTACATCCATCCTGTGGGACGGGGAACATCGACGGGCTCGGCGGTGGAGTGCTCGGGAGACTTCTCCATTATGGATAGCGGAATTGATCCGCAGAAACAATGAGGTTAAGAAACTGTAGGTGTGGGAAGAGGTGAGGTGGGTGGAGGATTGAAGATGGGAAGAGGATGCTTAAAAAGGAAAGCTATCTTTTGTAGACAGCGCTAAGATAGAGATATCTGAGCTGCAGGGTAGCATCGGCTTGGATTAGAACGGGCTACTTATTTTTTTTCAGTGGCTGGCCTTAGGGGCCTGGCAAGCCTGACAGCCGTCAATTGGCTTCATTTTGCGGGGTCTGTAGCTGATTGGGCTGGACGCTTTGATAGCAGTGTTACACCCTACGGATGGTACAGTCTCTTTGTGTAAGCTTGTTGACTTGTCGCGTGAGATTAACCGGGGTTTAGATACCGTAGTATTGTCTCGTCAGCAGGGTTACTCCTCGAAGATGTGGCTGAGGTTAGTTTCGATTATGACCTGACATTAAATCTAACAAACTCGAAGTAACACCACAAGCGAACTGCGACCCGAGGCTGAGGCTATATTAAGCGATAAGGGGCGAGTCTTGGGGGGTTCTCAAGTAAGTTACTTCCTCGTGGCATACCATGTGATTGGCTCAAGACCCACCGCTAATGATTGGGTCGACTGCGGGGATGCCTAATTAGGCTTAGTGTTATCATGTGTTTCAACGTTCTGGGTCTAGCGTAGTCTCGTTTGTCTGGTTTGTTCCATGTCTCAACTATTCGATGTGACACAGAGATCGGATTGCCATTGAAACGTTAACATATCAATCCTCGCTTTCTTCGCTTTCTTCCCCGGATTGTCCCTCATCTCCACTCTCCGATCCATCCACAGACATGGGAGCAGGCTGACTGAGCCGTTCAGCCTTGATACGCTGGGAGGGCTCATCCGCATCCACATCCATAGCATCATCATCATTGGTTGCATCACTAGCGAGACTGATCTCCGTATTGCGACGTTTATTCTTCCGTCCATCCTCAAGATGATCCTCATCTTCTTCCCGCTCCTCGAGTTCCTGTGCACGACGCACTCGTCTTAGCAGAACAGGGTCCGGGTTCAGATCGTCTGCTGTCAATGGAGTGGAACAGACTGGGCACTTCACCACGTGGATACGGCGCTGCCCCCTGCGAGCCGCTGGAGGTAGAATGGTAGTCGTGCTGCGGTTGATCATATCAAAGATCGGTTCGCGCTCGAAGCTGTGGGGACATTTGGTGCTGGTCACGGGATCGCGGAATGGTAACAGGGTCAATGGGCATTTGAGAGAGATACGCTCGCGCTCAATGGCGATATCATCATCGTCGGCAGCGGAGGAGCGACGCCCTTGGTTGCGGGTGCGTGTTGATGCGCCAGAACGAGCACTGGTATCCTCCATATGTTGGAACCATGTAGAAGAGTGGGGGAGTGGGGGCACGTCGTCGCCGGGGAATTTGGAGTCGTGCACCATGCGATAGAATCCGATGTAGTTGTTATGGCCGGCATATCTAGAATCGTAAATGTAAGCCTCCACACACCCCAAACAGGAACAACAGAAACAATGTACCTCTCTGTCAAAGACATCTCGTTCCATTTCTCAGAGTCCTCGGCCAGCTTATCTTCTAATCTCCGACTCGGCGGATTGCGTGCATTCCGCTCCTGCGTCTCACGCTCTTGTGCATCCTCATAATCGGCATCATTTTCATCCTCTCCATCCCCATCTTCATCTTCATCATTGCCCCGGCGTCTGGTTCTCTGCCCTGCACGCGTCCGCCTCGACCCCAGCCCCGCAGTAATAGCCTCACCCTCCTGCCTCTCAAGCTCTGTAATCGCATCAGTCAAACCCTGAAGCTTTGCCTCAGAATCAACAATTAGTCGCGCCTTTTCCTCCATCCGCGCGGTAATAGCGTTGACTCTAGTCTCCTCCTCAGCAAGCCGCTGGTACTCCTCATCATCCTCATCGTTCTCATCTCCCGCATCAATTCCCTCACGTTGCCGTCGCTGATATTTATTCTTCTCGTAGCGGCCGCGCGCATCAGCTAATCGCTCATTGACTTCACCGCCCGAGTGTGTGAGTTTCTCGGCAGCGTGTTTGAGATGCGTTATTAAGTTGCGGTGGTGGTGATTTGAGATTAGAGCGGCAAGGTGACGCTGAGCTTCGGCTGTGAGGGGTGCTTCTGGAGAGACGTATTCTGGTAGAGATGGGGCTTCGGAGGGGTGGGTTGTGCTTCGTCGGGGTTGGGCTGAGGGTGGGTGGGATTGCGAGAGCATTGAGCGCCGGTCTGGTGTTGCGCTCATTTTGGCGTCGGGGTGGTTGAAGTTGAGTTGAGGTGTCGTTTTACTCAAACTGTAGTTTAAACAACGGAGAATGCGCATCTCGAATTCCTGACACGAGACGCGATGGCGCTAGCCGTTCTGGGCTGATAAGGCTTATCTGGTACTATACGCTTCTCTACTATTGAAGTTAAGAGGTTTACTTTATTTTCGAGCTTATAGGAATGGTTTTTATGGTGCCTAATTGATTCTATAGTCACATAATAATTTCCATTATTCCACCTTCCCTCCGAGATGTACTTGATGTACTTTGTCAAAAAGTGGGATGTCGACCTCAGATTCACAAGCCAAGGATCGGTAACTTTCATAAAGAATTGCCCAAGATTTCTTCGGCGATTGAAGGCCACCTTTCAAATCCAAATATAATGCAAATTAAATGTAGAACAGATGTTTCACTCATCATATAATCGCGCAACGTAACCCCCACGCTCCCCAGTTCTACGACTAAACCCCGAAACCACAATAAACTTCTGTGCAATTTGCATGTACGAACTGATCAAAGTGCCAAACATGGCATCCATAGATTATTTCATCCAAACTTTCCCCATGGCCTAAAAACAGAAAGTATTACACCAACTGGGACGCCTTATCCCTTGGCAGCGCTGCCTTTTACCGATTCCAGCCCATGTTTCATACCCACCGGAGTCATTATTTCTGACCTCGCAGAAACCTCGCAGGATGATTTAAATCCGACAATCCCGGCAGTTATTTTGGTTCCGCCGAGCTGTCATCTCAGAGGCGCTGACGGTGGCCAGCCATGTAGGTAGCTCAATTGAGCTCTGATCTGCACTTATACCAACGAGATTAGTCTATACCGCTAGACCCTGCAGCTTCGTAGTGGCCTCCGCCAAGATGATGGCTGCTCACCCACAGCCCACGGTTTGCAACGCCCAACTCTAATGTACAGGTTGGATGATGCCTTGGTGGCTTGGAGGAAGAGTAGCTAGACTTTATGGTTGTCCAAGACTTGGGATGTCGCCAGGTCCCGCCTGATAGAGTTAGATCTCCAAATGGCCCCCACTAAGCTTGACGGGTCGTTATCTGATTTGTGAAGTATACGAGGAGATAGAGGGTAAGGGCCTTGAACACAGCTTAGAATGAGCTAATAGCTGCATGATATCAATGCTCAAGATGCAATCAAGCAACCTATCAAGAATCAAGGAAACATATAAAGGTAGCTTCAGTTCCCACCAAGGCCAGAGATATGAACAAAACCATCAACCTCAATCCTCAATCCCAAGTACAAACCACCCAAAATGCATCCACAAACCCTCCTCCCCTTCCTCCTCTCCCTCCTCGCAATCCACACAACAGCCTGCAACCCAACCCGCCGCTCAACAAACACAAACACAAACACAACAACCCCCAATCCCTTCAAAATAGGCACCGACGGCCCAGCTCCACCCAAAACCCTAGGCTACGCCCTAAACCACATGGGCCTGATAACCAATAACCTAACAGCAATGAAAACATTCTACGGCTCCATCCTCGGAATGCGCACCCTCTTCGACGTAACCCTAACACCAGAATACACAGTAACATACATGGGCTACGCGCAAGGCGGACGAAACGGAACGGGATTCCAAACCGGGACCGAAATGACAACTTCTAAGAATAACATGTACGGATTGCTCGAGATTGTTGAGTTTAGTGTTTCGGATGATCGGGTCGTTGCGTCGACTCAGCGCACGAATACGTTTAGCCATGTTGGGCTTGTTGTTCCTGATGTTGTTGAGGCGCAGGCGTATCTTGAGGGTGCGGGTGTTGAGATTCTCAAGGGGGTTGGTGTGCCCATTACGGAGTTTGAGGGGGCTGTTCCTAATGCGCTTGGGGTTGGGGGGTTTGCGGGTGCGCATCTTGAGGCTAAGAGGAGGCTTGTCGAGGCTCAGGGGTTGATTGGTTGGGAGAACTTTTTGTTGTTGAGGGATCCGGATGGGAATTTGGTGGAAATTCAGCAGCAGGATATTTAGGGTTGTTTGAATAGAGTTGTCTATCTTTGTTTTCGCTTTGGTCATACATAGGGTTGATGTGAGGTGGAGAAACCTTGCATGATATTCCAAGTTGATACACTGGAACAGCTAGATATTCCAACATGATACACGGCTTTACCAATGTTCCACTTAGACCTTATAGAAGCAGAATGCATGGTAAAAGCCTAGTGTCTTGTTAGCGGATGAAAAGAATACGGTGTCAGAGGAATACTCACTAACGGCGTCCTTCTCCTCCTCTGTCATTGCGAGGGCACCAGTCGAGCGGTCCCGCACACCCATGCGCTCACTCAACGGACCCAGGTCGCGGTCATTCTTCTCATCTTCCCATATATCTAAGAAAGGCTTGCGGTATTGTAGCTCAAGGTTGTAGTCCTCGGTCAAACTAGCCAAAGTCAGCGGTGTACAACATAAAATTCAAATAAATACTCACGCTCGGAAAGCTTCCCAGGGAACAACGTATTCAGGCACCTCCTCAACTGCCTCCCGCATGAAATAGCTGTACTTCCAACCAAAGGGCGGACGAAAGACGCCATCCTCGGGTGTGGCACCAGGGAACTGGACTCGGTAGATATCATTGCCCCACGAGGCCCGCTCATCCTCCTCAACCTCGCCATCCTCAGGGCCCTCGGGCTCAGCAGGCTTGGCCGCTTCGCGCTCCTTACGCTTCTTGTGGAAGTTGGAAACCTGGCTGGTGATGACATCGGAGTTGGGGCACACGCCAATGAAGCGACCGCCCTTCTTCAAGCAGCCTGCAACATTTCTGAGCATCTGGCGAGCCTTCTCCTCGCTTTCAAAGGCGTAGTGAATGGCGAACATGCATGTGACGACGTCGAAGCCACCACCACCAAAGCGCGATGCCATGATCGACCCACCAGGTCCGGCATTCGCATCAATACCAACCTGTTGAATGATGTTGACATCACCCAGCCACTCTCCAAAGCAGTCTTTCGGGTAAAATTCAGCATGGAAGATCGGCTGGGGTGGACGACGGCCTCGCTGGCCACGACCAGAGCGCATCTGGTCATACCGGCCCTGTGCCTGCTCAATAGAGATATTGGCAGGGTCCAGACCAACATAGAGGTCAACAGCCTGCGGCGCCAGCTGCCACTTGCCCAGGTCACCGCCCTTGCCACAACCCAGGTCCAGCACCAGCAGCCGCTTGTCATCAACAGGCGGGGGTCCCGTACTGTCATCCGCCCATTCCTTGGTATCATTAAACCTCGCGGCAAATTCCTCGTCCGGCGAGAACTTCTGAATCAGAGTACTCTTTACCCAATTGTTGAAGCTCCGGAGACCCTTAATCTTGCTTTCAGTTTTCCGCCACTCGCGGCCACGCTCAGGGACCGCGTTGTAATGCTGCCGAACCACATCTGTCACGCCGCGATCACGGGAGTTGCGCATTGCTTCATCCTGCTCTGCGCGCTCGCGCTCCTCCTGTCTCCGCCGGAGTGTTTCACGGTCTGCAAGACCCTGGCGCGCACCTCCGCCTGGGCGCTTGCGCTGGCGAGGTGCGTCGGGTGAAGGAGAACGGGGCGCTAGAGGCGATCGAGAGCGTCGTCTCTCTCTGTCGTCGCGCGGCGTTGAGCCATTTGGGCTGCGGGAGCGATTCCGTCGTGGGAATACTGATGGAGGTGTTCGGCCACGCTTGCGACGCTGGTGTCTCTCCTGCATTCTCTCGCGCTTGGATACTGGCGCGGGCGGTTGGTTTGGTCTGTCTGACGCTGTGTCCCCTTCCATGCTTCTGTGTTTTTGTTGGTCGCCCGGTCTGTAGGAGTCTGTGGCTGGACGGGGAGAGCGGGAGCCAGCAGATTGGGGAGGGTGTCCCTCCTTAGTGCGGTTGTCCATACTGGCTGTGCGAGGGTGTTGTTGCGGATTCGAGTTGTAAGGGTCTGAACTGTTCGCAGAACGGGTCGGGAGAACAAAGGTCGGGGGTTTTCGGGAAGGGATAAGATGTCAGGATAAATGTAAAACCCAGAAAATGAATGTCCTCTCTTCAAATTGCCAGGGACATGGTGAGTGAGGGAAGTGAGCGAGGTGAGAGCGACGGCACTTGAGATCCGTCGAGTTGATCTCCGTGCCTCAGCCAATCACAGCGAACAGAGCAACCCTAACTACTGAGTGCTCATAATTTTTTAGCTTATACTCGTATATTATTCCATCGGTCTGTTTGGATCACATGTGCTCTTTTTCGAAATGTCAGGTACTACTTGATGGTCAACTGATAAATATCCACATTCTCTCATTCGTGGCAACATAACGCACGCCCAAAAAGCTTGTCGAGCGGTTCTTTAGAGGCGTTAAAGAATTCACAAAAACTAGAATCACCTCGCAGGCTCGAAAGGAAACGAAAATGGTAGGTTGACTTGTCATTTCACCTCCGATATCCCCTTACAATATTCCAACCTTGAACCAGTGAATAAAATCGACTCTCACTATACCCTTATCCCTTCCTGCATGGACTTTCAGCCTCCAAAACCGCCATTGATCACCCAAAATGCCTCAGGATCAAATGAGGGTTGGGCTCGACTGAGCACCTAAGTAATAAACGTAGTCTGTTGGTATTCAATCCCAAGATCATCCTCCTCAAACCTGAAGTCTAACTAAAGAGTCGAGCGCAGACCGTCTCGGGGAGCTCAACTACCAGCTCAGACTACACATCGTTCCAGCTACTCTGTATTGTAAGCTGAGTCGGGTAAAGGAACTCCACTGCAACACCTTCACGGCCCTCTAGGGTGCAATCGGTATTTTGCACCTGGTTGATCCACCACGTCGCCAAACCGCCAGATAATAGCGCCCAGTCTCTGTCTCACACCAGTCTTCAGACGGGCTATCCAAGTCAACTATTACCCCAGGAAATTTCATTAAGGTACCTCTCCTTACTGGTTCCAATACAGATGAGGGCATTAGTTTTAACCCGCGCTATCCCCCCAAGCCTCACAAGCTCTTGTTAGAGATGGACAAAGACCTGTTTGATAACTTCTTGGCCTGGCGCACGTACGACGTGTCCCCACCTACCCTCAAAAAGCTGCTCGAACTTTACCCGTCAGACACCTGTGATGAGCCGCCGCACTCGGTTACCAACCGTTCCCTGTTTCCGAGCATGGGGACGCAATGGCGGCGTGCTGCAAGCAGCGGGGGCGACATGGTGATGATTTGCAGGACGTCGTAAAATGTGCCAAGTTTCCTCGCAGGCAAAGCAGCAGGTATTCAGCTATTGCTTCGATACGCGCCTCTGGAATCAGACGGAACTGGAGGATGTGATACACTTCGACAATGTGGCGTTCAGCTTTCAAAACATCTCGGGTCTTTTGGGGCCATCGCCTGAGTATGACAGCCATCGACGACTATCGAGATCAATCGGTAAAGCCTACATATGTTTTGCTTACCATTTCAACCCAAATCCTGGCGGGCATTCTGATGAAAGCCATGATGATATTCCTTATTGGCCGCGGTATACTGTCTTGAACCCAAGAAATATGGTGCTCAATGCTTCCGGTAGCTACGTTGAGTCGGATACATACAGGAGAGAGGGAATTTCGTGCTTGAAGTCTCCGGAAGTCTCGAGAGAACTGTTAGGTTAATTGATGTAGACATCCCATTATAATAAGCGGGCTCTAAAGTTGAAACGTCTCGCAGGTGAATAGAAACTCCAAAGAGGTTGATAATTTGCATCATTTCAACCCATGGAAACAGATAGAGGTAGTAAAGGCTAAATCAACATGGCGAAGTTTCGTGTTTCGCATTAGGAAAATTAAATATGACAGAAGGTATGAGATATGCATGTCCAACGCCTGATCATGAGAAACTGCGACTTCGTGGAGACCATCAAGACGAAGCGGGCTTCGGCTTTGGCGTCCTACTTTTCAAGATCTGTCTCACTCGTTGGATCTTCGTCCACCACTCACTATCTGCTTTCTTCTTCGCCTCTGGATCCTCGTCTTCGAGTGGATGCTCCTCCGCAGGCGTAGCAGGCCAAAGAGTCTCTGAAGATCTCGTAAAGCGCATGCGTCGTCGGTTCGTCACCTTGACGGCTTCTGCAACGAGCTCCCAGCCAGCGCGTAGTCTCTCAACTTTCTCGTTGGCTCGACCAGTACCACTTTGAGCCACCTTGTTGATCCAGGGGCAATATTCCATGTGTTCACTGGCCACATCCAGGGAAGTGTAGACCGTGACTTCTCCGTTGTCTTTGGGTTTGTACATCCAGAGACCCAGCCGACGGAAGCATGCACCGCATCCGACTAAACCGGCAGCTCCATCGGAGGCTGTATCCCATCCGAACAATGCTAGTGCCAATGCTGCTCGATTGACTGAGCGAGGAGCATCAGCGGATGAGCGGTTACTCTCCGATGATTCTTGATTTTCACTGCTCGGCGCCTGACCCTCCGTCGTGGGGGCAGCTGCAGGCTCAGCCGGCTGAGCTGCCTCTTTGAACCAGTCATCGGGCAATAATTTGGCGATGTCATCAAGGTTGGGCTCCTGAAGAGTTTGAAAGACGTCATCGGCCGGTAACTTATCTCCCATCTTCAAATTGTTCATGTAGCGGTCGTGTAGTCCTGACAGGGCAACATCGCAATTGGTTAACGGAAGATGTTGAATAGTAGCTAGTCCGGTGTTAGTCAATGAAAAGAAGATATAAGATGTACTGGCAGACTCACCATCACAGCTCTTCTGGCGCCATGGGCAACTCTCGCCATGACTTTCAACTAGCATCTTCGCATACTGGTCAACGAGCGTTGCACCTGTAGATGTGGCAGTTAGCACTGAACCCCAAGTCCCTAGCTCTAGGCAACTGTGTGGAGTACTCACGGACTTCGTTCCGCTCCCGCACCTTCTCACTATCGAATCCATCGAGTTCGTCGATCTCATCAGGAAGTTTGATAACGACCGCACCACCGCATTCAGAGACGCAAGTGACGCGCTTTGAATCCGTACATATCCAGCCATGTTTCGCCCATTGTACCTCGTTGATAGGGGCCGGTTTTGAAGTCCATCGATCGACACGGCGAAATGTCTCTAGCCGCTCCAGGAACCGTTCACGATCCCAGGGAACAAAGGTTGGGCGCTTATTCGAGGACGCAGATGACGCAGATGACGTTCGGTTCGCGGGCCGAGAGATTTTCTGGATCGAATTGCGCACGGATGCGAGCTCGGAGCGATCGTTGCTGCTTAGGCGGACTTTCTTGATCGATAGGTTGGCGGCGACACGCTCTCGAGCTGTCATGGGCGGAGCAGGGGGTGGTGTTGGTGTAGGCTCGGGCTGTTGGGGTTTGGATATTGAATCCAGGATCCGATGGAACTTGCGCTTCTTTGACTCCAGCTCATAAGACATTTTTGCGAGCGTGGAAGCAATCAAGGTGTAGTTGAGAGTTGGAGCGGCGATCACAAAGCGCCGGGATTGTCGCCTCAGGCACCAACATTGCTTTTGGGTCTACTGGGCGTTATCACGCTCAATGATGAATCGGAGAACTGGAAATTGTCTGATCTCTTGATCTGTGAGTGCTCAACGATCACCTTAAGCTACAGACTCCGACGTCGTTGTTGAGACAAATGCTCTGTTGCTGATTGGCCGATGCGCATTCCGCGATATCATACGATTTTCGAGATCGCGACAATTTTCTTCTTACACTCCTCCCTCTTCCAACAGCCATGGCTTCTCTAGGGACTACTCTGCCACTATGGCGGAGCCTTGCGCCCCGTCTGGCGAAGGATGTATTTACCTGCCGCCAATGCCTCCGCAACCAGGGTGTTGCAGCCAAGTCGATCCGTCGTTTCGGCGCAATGCCCTCCCGCCAGCCCACTAAGGCCCAATCGACCCTTTTGAACAGTAAGAACCGCCAATTCTTTACCTCGAGCATCCAGAGATCCGCAGCTGCACAGGCTGCTGCCGAGGTTATCCAAGGGGGAGCAGATGGCGCCAAACGCAGCTTCCCCAAGATCAGCGATAAGGCCGTCGCCTACTGGCTTCTCGGCAGCGCAGCCAGTGTTTTCGGAATTGTGGTCTTCGGTGGTCTGACACGGTTGACCGAATCAGGGTGCGTATGCGTGATGGGACGCGAAGTGAACTTCCGACGCTGACGGACAAATTTTGGTATAGATTGAGTATCACCGAATGGCGACCTGTTACCGGCTCTCTCCCCCCCATGAACGCGGAACATTGGGAGTCTGAATTCGCAAAGTACCGCGCATCCCCCGAATTTCAACTGTTGAACCCGAATATGACCCTGTCCGAATTTAAATCGATCTACTATATGGAATGGATTCACCGGCTTTGGGGCCGGTTCGTTGGAATGTCCTTTGTCCTGCCGGCTGTATACTTCGTCGCACGCAAGAAGGTCTCCACGCCCATGGCGTGGCGTCTGTTTGGCATTGCTGGTCTCATTGGCTTCCAGGGATTCCTGGGCTGGTGGATGGTCAAGTCTGGCTTGAAGGATGATCTATTTGCTCCGGGCAGCCACCCCCGAGTGAGTCAGTACCGTCTGACTGCTCATCTGGGTGCTGCTTTCACTTGCTACGTTGCTATGCTGTGGAACGGTCTTGCTATCCTGCGCTCTCATCGGTTGATGGCTGATGCCGCTGCTGGTATTGACGAATTGGCGGCCCTGCGTTCCGGGAAGCTGGCCTTCTTCCGCCGCTCAGTTGCCGGTATCGCCCTCTTAGTCTTCACTACTGTTATCTCTGGTGGTCTTGTCGCTGGTCTGGATGCTGGACTTATCTATAACGAGTTCCCATACATGGGCAACGGATTAGCTCCACCAAAGGAGGAGCTGTTCGACGCTCGCTATTCCCGACACGAGGACCGCTCCGATCTCTGGTGGCGCAACATGCTCGAGAACCCCTCCCTCGTTCAGCTTGACCACCGCATGCTCGCCATGACCACCTTTACTTCCATCGTGGCTTTGTTGGCTTACACTCGCCTCGCGCCCTCCATGAAGCGTCACCTGCCTGCTGCCGCCAGAAAGGGTGTCCACGGCGTGTTCGCCTTTGCTTGTTGCCAGGTTGGCCTTGGTATCTCCACTCTCCTCTACCTTGTTCCTACTCCGCTTGCCTCCGCCCACCAGGCGGGCAGCTTGTTCCTCCTCACTTGGGTTATTGTGCTGGGTAGCCGCGTCTGGCACCCTTCTCGTACCGCCAAGTTGGTGAAGATGGCATCCGAGATGGCCAAGAAGCAGACACCTCGTGCTCCTTCTTTCACCGCGAAGAGGGTATAAAGCCTGACTCGATTGAGTGTGTGAACATGGCGACCAAGGCTGGGTGCAAATCTACCCTTCTTGGAAACACTGACAATCTCCATTCATCTTCCGACTCAAAACATCACATGAGTCTTTTGTATAACTAGCACTACCGTTCCTTTATTGTAAAAACATCCATTGAACATGATAACAATTGCTTCAAATCTGAAAGGCAAAATCAAACTATGATCCACTGCAAATACTCCTAATTTCCAATTCCCACATCCTCTGTCAACATCCATTGAACATGATAACAATTGCTTCAAATCTGAAAGGCAAAATCAAACTATGATCCACTGCAAATACTCCTAATTTCCAATTCCCACATCCTCTGTCAACATCCATATCAAAGCAAAGCACATCCCCAACCTCGTATCACCAGAAGCCACTCACTCCGCCATCCGCGAAGAAGGACGAGCACGACGCTCCGGATTCCGCCGAGCAATCTGATACTGCAAAGGCAGCCCATCCTCCCCGATGGGAACCTCAGGCTCATCCACGTGCCGCGAAACCGAACCCCTCTCGGTACCCGGCGACAAAGTAACCTCAGAATCACTCCAGGAAACATCAACCTCATCGCGAGAACGTTCGCGTCCACGGAAAGGCAGAGCTCCAAACCTACCATCAGAAGCAATATTCCCAGCCCGTGTTCCATCAGCTGGAGCGGAAGTAGAAGCAGAACCAAGATTGACCAACGTCTCCGCAGCGCAAGCTTCAGCACTCATATGCTTAAGAGATCCGGATCCCAAAATCCCCTGGCGAGGAGTCGAACCCGCACGACGCCTCCTGGAAGGTTCCTCGACGTGCATACTCCCAAATGAAGAATGACCACGGTCCCCTGCGCGCCGGTTGATGCATGCGCGGCAGATCTGCCAGCCGCAGGTGTTGCAGCGGGACATACCGTCTCTGTTCCGTTCGTTGCCTTCGTCGCATTTTGCTGTGTGGGCCGCTACATCGGAGAAGGTCACGAAAACTTCCGGTGTGCTTGTGCGGCTAAGGCGGGCAGTCGAAGGTTGTGGAGTTGGTGTTCCATTTTCTGAGGGAGGGAGGTCGAAGTCGATGATAGAGGGCGACGGAGCTATAGGTACGTGCTGTTAGTTGCTTGATTTCTTTGTGGGGGTTTTTTTTGAGGTGTATGCGTACCCTCGTGTACATGGCGGTTTCCGGGCAGGATGGGAGGTTGACGACGACTAGCCACAGGTATGAGTTCGTCTTGGTGGGTGAAGACCTATTGTGTTGACAGTCAGTCAGAAAGATCCGTTGATTTGATGGTTGTTTTATACACACGCCGTGAGAAGTAAAGCCCGATTCCTGGAATGGCTAGTGAGAGTTAGTGCCATGCCCAGAGGAGATGGTAGAGGTATACCAACGTTGCATCTCAGATCAGAAACGTCGTGCCCTCGGACAGGATAGAAAGGATAGAGATTTGGGAGCGGGTGGCTATTAAGCCCGTTGACATATTGCAAAGGTAATCGACGTCCAGCAAGAGCATCGTCTGTTTTACCGTCACCCATCAGAAGGCTTGGTCTGCCATGGCTAGCCCAGTAGGCATCCAAAGACGCGTCGAGTTCGCCGATGGAGGGCACCCGCTCGTGGTCCTGTTCTTCTGACATCTTGAATACCTTTGATGGTCAGTGTTGGTTGATGAAGAGAAATTTCGTGGCAAGGTGTAGATACCGAGATGTCTACCGTGAGATGATAAATGGACTTCGAAGTCCAGGTGAGAGGAATCCTAAAGAAGGGACAAAGAGTCACCTCTTCCCTGGATGGTGATTCTTTGGAGGATCAACTCAAGTTGATGTCTTCACGGGGTTTTATGATTAATGGAGATAGAAGTAAGTCTCCAGTGATGCGTTTCCTCGAAGATAAAACGAGAGAGTTAGAAGAGAGAGGGGGAGGGAGGAAAGATGGAGGATGGAAGGAAGATGCCAAATGAGTAGGCTTTATTTATGCGTAGTCTCAGGGTCAAACAATCAGATATTGAGATGGTATATTGTATTCGAACGGGGATTTCCGTTTCATTGGAGACAAACAATCAGTACTCGACATTGATACCAGATTTGCAGTGAATGCATCTCAGGCGCGAGGGTATTGCTTCTAGTATGCGCTCAGTTGAGTGCTATTATTTAGTCGATCCAAAGCTTGTGCATCTAGTGGCTTTTCTATTACCTGGAGGAAGTGTAGAATGGAAACTGGCATTGCGTATTCTAGGAAAAGATATGAATGCACTGCGGAGGCTACAATATCAGTTAGGGCTAACTTCGCGCCAAGTGATGCATGGTCTGTGCTTTTATATAGCTCGAGAATCAAACGTCATATAGTAGTTGACATTTCATGAGTAATGGCCATAGGAGGTTTAGAGCTCCCTATCAGGAAACAGGATGATGGCTAGAAATATAGTACGGGTCATGAGGGTGCTTCAGGCGATGGTTTCTTATAGCGGAAAAGTTGATGTATGACTCTCCGAAGAAGGCTATTGCTCCCAATCACCTCCAACTACGAAAACAAAGATTGTTTGGAAAAGTTAGAACATGGCTGGCATATTTTTTGAAGACTATTTTATCTGAGGCATTTCTCATATAACAGCTGCTGCATGCAAAACCTTAGAACCATCACGCATTCAAAACGTCAACATCCAATTCTTGGAGACATCATTTTATTCATTTGTGGGCTGTAGATTCATTGTTAGTGATATGGGCTCCTCGAAATTACAGGATATTAATAACATACGAATTCCTTCCTCGGGCATGGGTTCAACGCCGGCAATCTCAGCGGCAGACTTCTCAGTGGCAGCGGACTTGTCATCCTTCATCATAGGGAAGGCCAGGACCTCCTTGATACTGTAGTTGTCGGTAAGGAACATGACCAGGCGGTCAATACCCATACCCCAGCCACCGGTAGGAGGCAGACCGTACTCGAGAGACTGGCAGAAGGTCTCATCAATCATCTGGGCCTCGTCGTCACCCTGGTCCTTCTGGTTGGCCTGCTCCTCGAAGCGCATACGCTGGTCGAAGGGATCGTTCAACTCGGTGTAGGCGTTGACAATCTCCTTCTTGCAGACGAAGGCCTCGAAACGCTCGCAAAGACCGACGTTCTGGCGGTGGTATTTGGCAAGAGGGGACATCATCTGGGGGTGACCGGTAATGAAGGTAGGGTTGACACAAGTCTCCTCAATGAATTCGCCAACCAGCTTGTCGAGCATGCGGGCGTTAGTCTGAGGGGGGGAGCAGTCGACCTTCATCTTCTTCAGCATGCGCTTAAGGAACTCGTTGGTCTCCTGGGTGTGGAGCTGGTCACCGGGCGGGAACTTCTCGCCACAAGCCTCCTCCAGAGCAGGAATCATCTCCACTCGCCTCCAGGGCGCCTTCCAGTTAACGTTGTAGGTCTCGCCAGACTGGGTGTGGAAAGTGGTCTCGTAGCCACCGGTGATTTTCTTGACCAGGCCAGAGATCAATTCCTCGGTCAGGTCCATGACGTCGTAAACATCTGCGTAAGCCCAGTAGAACTCACAGGTGGTGAATTCGGGGTTGTGAGTAAGATCGATACCCTCGTTACGGAACTGACGGCCGAGCTCGTAGACACGCTCGAGACCACCGACGATCAGCATCTTCAGGTAGAGCTCAGGAGCGACACGCATGAACAAGTTCATGTCAAGGTCGTTGTGGTGAGTGATGAAGGGCTTGGCGGTGGCACCACCGGCAATGGCGTTCATCATAGGGGTCTCCACCTCAGTGAAGTCACGGCTATCAAAGAATTGGCGAACGTAGCTGACAATCTTGGCACGAGTGCGGAAGATGTCGCGGGAGCGGTCGTTCATGATCAAATCAAGGTAGCGCTGGCGGAAACGCTGTTCCTTGTCCTGGAATCCGTAGTGCTCGGATGGAATGGCGTGCAGGCAAGGAGCCAGGAGGATGACTTCGGTAGCGAAGATGGAAAGCTCACCATCGTCACGGTTCTTAGGAGAAGTGCGACCGGGGAAACCGACAATACCGACGATATCACCACGGCGGAGGAGCTCGTGCTGCTCTTCGAAGGGCTTGCCAGTGGCATTCTGGGCCTGACACATGACCTGGACCTTGACACCCTCGGCGCGGATATCGTAGAAGTTCAGCTTGTTACCGGAGGTACGCTTGGTGAAGATACGACCAGCGATGCGAACGGTAACATCGGTCTTCTGTTCGCCCTTCTGGAGACCCTCATAGTCCTTCAGGAACTGGCGGAGGTCGGTGTCGACCTGGAACTTGTGAGGGTAGGGATCGGGCTGCTTGGTCTCGCGCAGCTTGTTGATTCTCTTGCTGCGAATCTCGAAGTATTGCTAGAAAAGACATGTTGATTAGCCTCAACTACCCCGCCATGCGCGCACAGCACCAGTCACTCACGTTAGGGGTCAGGTTGGCCTCATCATCCTCAGCGGAGGTCTTCTTCTCGGCCTTCGCCTTGGGGGGCGCGGCGGCCTCCTTCTCCTTCTTCTTGGCATCATTCTCGCGCTTCTTCTGGCGTCTCTTCAATTCGGTCTTGGAGACCTTCTCGCCAGTAACTTCGTCGAGTAGAAGGTTGGCCATAGAGACCTCAGCCTCCTTAACAGGGTTGGAGTCCGCCATAATGTCTGTGTTGAGGAAACAAAAGTGGATGGTGGGATGAAGGAGGGACACTTGAATTTTTGGGCGGGATCGGCATCCCGCCTGATTGGGCGTCAGTAGAAAGTCCTCTCTGACTCATCTACATAGACTCACTGCTTTGATGCTTCAATCCTGCATGATCATATGTGAGCTACAGACCTCGTTCTGCTCTTAATTATGCTCTTTTTCTCATCTTTCTGTCAGTTCACAGATACTCGATTGGGAACTTAGGGCTTAGGGCATTGCAGTGGGGTTTTACCCCGCCATGCCATTTTCGGTTACTAAGACGATCTATACAACCTCATGTTATGGGTATAACCTCATTTCTGTTAAATACGTGCAATGCATTGGAAAGTATGACTGGGAGATTATTGAAAAGTGAAATAAGACACTGAAAACTGTCCAAAGGCAAGTATTCAATAGGAATCTGTTGAAGGGAGCTCGAGAATTCCACAGAGATGAATCCCCAATATACAATGCGAAAATAGTTAAGAATACCCAGTAAAGAGGTCCAAGTTAAAGGCATTATGCTGATATTCCGTGACATTGGTTTCTTTTCTCTTCACTCGACCAATCCTGTATGCTTCTCATGTTATGGTTCGGCGGTCATTCTAATACCTCCATCCATCCCCGAAAAGCGCAAAAGAATGCGTAGTGAAGTTCCCAAAAGCCTTGTCATATATTTCAGATTACAAGCTTTTGGTCAGATCTGGTGCACCAGATTGGGTTTGTGTTGTTTACCTGTCTCGTCTCCAAGTTAAGACGAACGGAAAACCCCAACTTCCTCTTTTTATCCCTCAGTTCAACTAGTATGCTCTGAGGAATCACGCTACATCTCGTTTTCCAGCTTCTCCCATCTCTAACTCCGTCATCATCTATCTCCTTCTCTCTTCCACATCCCTCCCCCATCCAGCATTCATTCACCTCACAAAGTTCATCTGATTTAGATCTTCCTTGATCGAGTCTGTGACCTGTACAACTTCCTTATTATCTCATTTCATTCTTGGTACGTATATCAGCTGTGTGATATGCCAAGTTGAGCTATCCAACTCACTGTCTGGTCTCCTGGGGTCTTTTCTTGAAACTTACAACTTCTGTCTGCTCAGGTCCAGATTTCATCATGGATTCTACCGGCCGATCACCTGCCACCAAGGAAGAAATGGATCCTTTTTTCACTTGTGAGCATGATCTCGTCAATGAACGAAAACCTTTCTTACTGACTCATTTTGTCTTCCCAGCGAATCTGTCGCTCCGACACAATGTTCCCGCTCAATCCAACCAGCCCATCGAGAAAGGCCCCTTCCACTATTACGCCATGGAAATGAAGAGCCTGGTCCAGAAGATTCAAGATCTCCGCCATCTAGGCATTGAAGACAGCAAGATCGTTCTTCCCAAAATCTGTGTTGTCGGGGATCAGAGCACTGGAAAGAGCTCCCTCATCGAGGGTATTTCTGAGATCAAAGTCCCCCGTGATACGGGTACTTGTACTCGTTGTCCCATGGAGATCAACTTGTCTGACAGCGATGGGCCTTGGCAGTGCATCATGCACATTGCACACCGCTACACATACATGCCAAACAACCGGGGAACACAGCTTCCCAGCAAGGCAAAGCCACTGGGACCTTGGGTTGCTTCAGGTGGCAATGAGGATGAGCACTTTACTACTCTGTTCGAGAAAAATGATGTCAAAAATGCCATTTGGTGGGCACAGCTTGCAGTACTGAACCCACAGATGGACACCCAGGAGTTTGTCCCGGGTAATAATCAAAATACACAGAAGACGGCCCTGGTGAAGTTTTCCCCCAATGCTGTACGGTTGGATATTTCGGGGACCGGCCTGCCCAACCTCTCCTTCTATGATCTCCCTGGCGTTATAAGTCAGACCGAACAAGATGGAGAGAAGTATCTCGTTCGCCTGGTTGAGAATCTGGTCAAGGACTACGTCTCGCAGAAACATTGCATCGTGATCTTAACCCTCCCCATGACCGATGATGCGACGAATTCCAGCGCCGCCCGGATCATTCGTGACATCGAAGGTGCCAAGGAGAGGACGCTGGGCGTTTTGACTAAGCCAGATCGCGTGTCGAATGCTGAATCTTTTGACCAGTGGCTTGAGATTCTGGACCGGAAGAAGTTCACACTTGGTCATGGGTACTTCGTCATCAAAAACAACCCCAATCCTCTTGTCAGCCACGCGCAAGCGAGAATGGAGGAGGAGATATTCTTCACCCAATCACCATGGAACGAAGAGCTTGCGGCATATGGCAACTCTTTCGGAACTGCCAAGCTCCAAATCTCTCTCTCAGAATTGCTTAGAAAGCAAATTCTGGGATGCCTGCCCTCGATAATTGGGCAGATTGACGAGAAGGTGGACGCCATCGACAATGAACTTGGTACTTTGCCCAATCCCCCGACTGAAGATGTCCAGAGGATTCTTTGGGGAAAGACTTCAGACCTTGAGCGCAAAATCCAGCAAGTCTTCGATGGGAACTCAAGCGTGACCCCGGCAGCAAAGAAACCTCTTCAAGAAGAATGGAATAAAGTCGTCATGGAATTTCAGTTCGCCTTGTCGAAGACGCGTCCAGTCCTCGAGATGACCGCGTCTACGGACGAACAGGACCTCGCAGAAGATTCCGACTGCGAGATCTTGATGGTCAGCATATCGCCCAAAAAGCGAAAATTGTCCGCCGACGTCAAAGTCGAGGGGCAAGCTGAGCCAAAGTCGACTTCGGCCTCACCCAAGAAGTCCAGTTTCAACACATCTCTTTTCCAGAACCGCGAAGGAACCGCGCATCGCTTCACATTGAACGCATTGGCAGAGATCAAAGTTCGCTCCAACACGGTGGGAGTGCCAAATCAACTTGATCCCCGCGCGATCGAGAATCTCAACAAGAAAAGCGTAGAGCACTGGGGCAAGCTGACAGCTACTTTTGTTAAAACCCTGCATCGTCTGGTACAGGATATCCTTCTAAGCGCTTTGCACGAGGAGTTCAATCAGTACCACCAAACCGGACTGTATCAAGAGCTTGACAGAATTATGAAGGAATATCTGGTTACCATTCAAGATTCCCACCTCAATTACGCACAGGAGTATTGGCGAAGCGAACATGAGCAGCCCTTTACAATGGCACAGATACAGCATCAGACTCTCATGAGACAGGCATTGGAGACACTGAAGGCTCGACGATTCAGCGCGCGTGCTACTGTCTGGTTGAAAGTGCGGGGCTATGACATGACGGACGAGAAGCTGATCTCGGACAAAAAGAGGAGAATGTCCCAGGAAGAACTTGGTGCAGATCGTTATGCTCAAGAGATTGAGATGATGGCCGTATGTCGCCCCACCGCCAGGCCTTTACTTGACCTTTGACTAACTCTTTCATGTAGAGCTCGCTGGCATATTATGAGATCGCCCGTTCTCGTTTCCTGGATGTGCTGTGCCAGTCTACCCATACCAAATTGATCCGGAAGTGTCGTGCGGAGTTGGTCAACAACATTCGTGACGAGCTCCAGATTTTCGGAGACAACGGTAAGCTCTAAGCACAGAATTGGGAGTTGAAATATCGCTAATTACTATTGACTTAGGACGCGAGCGGTGCCTGGTGCTGATGGCCGAAGACGCCGAGCGTCAGAACCGTCGGGTTTGGTTGCACAAAGAACGGGAGAAATTCGCGAAGGCCCAAGAATGGATTTCGACCCTCAGAAATGAGGATCTTGAGATGGTGGACTCGGAGAGTGCGGAGGCCGGCGGCAATGTTGCATGGACGTCGTCGTGCACACACGCCGAGGCAGAATTCTAAGTATTCATGATCGATTTCATGATTGCTGCAAATGGGAAGCTGTGGCTTCCTCAAGTCTGCTATTGAGGCTTTGCTGTGGTTGTTACTTGTTTGTGGACCCTAATTGATGGCTCACGAGATCTACAATTTGACAAGCCAAATAGATCCAAATGAGTTCGAGAATGAGATACAACTGGAGACTGTTACCAAAGAATGATAATCTAATTTTGTAATATTCAATCTGTGCCCAAAATGGATCATTCTTCTTTTTCATAAGTATACCTGCTCTTTCCCCAGTATAAGGGTGATTGCACGATATTGGGAGCGAAGAGCCAGGGCTTTATTAAGGATGTTAAGAGTCTAATTGGGATACGCATTTGTATACTTTTCTCACTAAAATACCGCCATGAATACCGACTTCCCACTTTTTCCAACCACTTCTTCTATATCCACAATCACGGCGAATTCGACTGACATTGCATCTCCTGTCAGAAGTATCATGCCCGAGTAAGGGGGGCCCTAGTCTTCCTGAAGTGAGCACACACTATTTGTGCCGTGTGGATTGCTAGCATCGCATGGGAACGTTTGGAGGTCCTACTAACTGATTGCAGGCTCCCTTCACCACCACTACCAATCTACGTCGCCACGTGGGAGACCATGGGCTGCTGGTGGCGGACACCAAACCTGGTCCGCTCAGAGATATGGAGCAGCGTATTGTTATGAAGTTTTACGATTCTGCAAAGGCGAAGCATGAGGACCTTGACGCTGTTTCCCAGGCCCAGCGAAGTAACGCAGAGTATGTGATAGTATATTTCTTTTTCCTTTCTGCAAGCTCGTTCATACCGTGAAGATACCTGACACCAATGTCATTACCAGACTGGTATCCAGAGTAGAGTAGTTTAAAGTAGATTAGTGTAGAAGCCGAAAGGAGTAAAACGTTGATGTCAGGTGAGTCCCCCACCGAAACCGTCGTCTTGGCGGAGATCTGCCTCTTCGACTTTGGAGTTTCGAACTTCTCTCATATTCCATACCCTTTTGTCGCAATGCTTCAAGTTCCTGTGCGGGAGCATTCTAGTCAGGCCTCCACCAAGGCCGTGATCTTGGTGAGTGACGGAATGATCGCCGCCGTCCCATAACTGACACCTTGTCCACAGGTCGGAGGTCCCTCGAGAGGTACTCGATTCCGCCCATTGTCGCTCGATGTGCCCAAGGTACGTGCCTGTCTGCTAGTTGATCGTGTCTTCGGATGCACAAAGCAAGGAGCTGACCCGTCGTTCCACATAGCCCCTATTCGAAGTCGCCGGCCACCCCATCATCCACCATTGTCTGAAGGCGGTAGCGAAGGTCCCCGACGTGCGCGAGGTTTTGTTGGTTGGATATTATGATGAGACCGTGTTCCGTGACTTCATCAAGGATGCCTCGAAGGAATTCCCCCAATTCCGCATCTCCTATCTGCGGGAGTACACCGCATTGGGCACCGCAGGTGGGCTGTACCACTTCCGTGATGCGATCCTCAAGGGCAAGCCGGAGCGCCTGCTCGTGCTGAACGCCGACGTCTGCTGCTCGTTCCCATTGGGTGAGATGATGCGCCTGTTCGAAGAGAAGGATGCCGAGGCCGTGATCTTGGGTACACGGGTGTCCAACGACGCCGCGACGAACTTCGGATGCATTGTGTCCGACTCCCACACCAAGCGTGTCCTGCATTACGTCGAGAAGCCTGAATCGCACATCTCCAACTTGATCAACTGCGGCGTGTACCTCTTCGCCACCGAGTGCATCTTCCCTGCTATTCGCAGCGCCATCAAGCGTCGCACCACCCGTCCCCGCCTCCTGTCGTACCCCTCCTCCGATAACCTGGAGTCCTCCTTCGTCGCCGTGGGAGACGACGAAGATGCCGAGAAGAGCGAGGTTCTCCGTCTGGAGCAGGACATTCTCTCCGACTTGGCTGACAGCAACCGCTTCTTCGTGCACGAGACCAAGGACTTCTGGCGCCAGATCAAGACCGCCGGTTCTGCCGTGCCCGCCAACGCCCTTTACCTCCAGAAGGCATTCCAGACCGAGTCCCCCGAGCTCACTGCCCCCTCTGCCACCATTGTGCCCCCGGTCTATATCCACCCCACCGCTACCGTCGACCCCACCGCCAAGCTTGGACCCAACGTCTCGATCGGCCCACGTGTCGTTGTCGGCGCCGGTGCTCGTATCAAAGATTCGATTGTGCTCGAGGATGCCGAGATTCGTCACGACGCTTGTGTCATGCACTCCATCATCGGTTGGAGCAGCCGTGTCGGTGCCTGGGCTCGTGTTGAGGGAACACCTATTCCGATTGGTAGCCACTCGACCAGCATCGTGAAGCACGGCATCAAGGTGCAGAGCATCACCATTCTGGGTAAGGAGTGTGGTGTCGGTGACGAGGTCCGCGTGCAGAACTGCGTGTGCCTGCCTTACAAGGAACTCAAGCGGGTCAGTATCCCCATGACACGTTTGTACGTGCGATTGACTAACATTGTATACAGGACGTCGCCAACGAGGTCATTATGTAAACGTGCAATTATTTGGTCTTTAAAATACCTCAATCTGTCTACCTTTTGGATGGATATTTGTTTCGTGAGCGTAGCCGATCTACAGCGTCTTTTCCCTTTAATTTATCTGGAACCAAAATGAAGAGTCGTTAGATTTGATTTCTCGCATTTTGCTCTGTCTTGTCTCGATGCTTTTGTTCCAGATATCACACATGCCAATAATGAAATGAATCCTTTGAAAGCGCCTTCATGACCCAATTCCTCCAAATGCAATCGGAAGATATATCATAAATTCACCGCTTGCTGTCATCACAAAGAAAAGAAAACCCCATCAATGCATCATCACTCAGCGATACGCCGCAGGATCATACCCCGTATACTCCCTCTGATACGGATCCTGATATCCCTGTCTCCCGCGATGGCTCATACCACCAGCATCATACCCATAATACCCCTGCGCATCACCAGCATGCGCGACCTCCCCATGAGCCCCATGCTCATACCCATGCCCATACCCCTGCGCCCCATGCATAGTAGCACTCGAACTCGCCGGCGGCAAATTATCAAAATCCTGCAGCGCAGGGGTCGCCTCACTCCCACCCCGCTGATGCCCATGACCGAGATTATGAGCATAATGATCATCCATCTTAACATCAAACGCCCCGGCATCATCAAGACCAGGCTGCGAGCCCATAGCGCCATAAGTCCCAAAGCGGTTCTGGCGCCGGCGAACAATAATATCAAGCCATAATGCGGAGATGTGTGCGACCAGGCCGAGGATCGTGAATGTGAAGAGGGCTTTGTAGCTGCGACAGACGGAGATTCCCGTTGAGTTGCCCCAGTGTGTCGTGGTGCAGGATGTTGTTATCGTGCCAGAGAGGGACCAGCAAACTAGGCCGAAGGAGATGGCCCACAGGATGAGGAGGATTATGTTTGCTGTTATTGAGAGTTTTGGGGAGAGGCCGCAGCTGCAGTGGATTAGGGTTGTGAGGAGGATGTTTAGGAGGGAGAGGGCTGCTGCTACGAGGAGCTGGAGGTTTGTCAGTTATGGGTTTTGTAGTTAGTTGGGGTGTTGCTTACCACTAGGAATGAATACGGTAATTTGTATCCATCGGCGTGGAGGTGGTAGATAAACAAGGCTAAGATTGCGCCGACCACGATTGAGGAGAGGAAGCCGAAGAATCGGATGGCGTGGAATGGCAGTGGCGGGTATGCCGAGGGTTTGACTGAGGGTTTTGATCGCATCTTGAGGTAGATGCAAGAATGAAAGATGGAACTGGCAGAGCAGCCCCTACAAAAGACCTGGAGGTAAATATGATCGGCGCTCCACACGGGCGTGCGTCACGGCGCTATTAATAAACGATCTGGGCTGTGCATTGCGTACGGCCCTAACACTTCAAACACTTGGCTATAATAATAATGATACTTCTATTAAATACATGTAAGAGAAAGGCAGGAACAAGGTAAAAACAAGGTAAATAAACTAAGTTCAATTGCTCTGTAGACTGAACCTTGAGAATGTTGTGGCTAACCTTATAACTATGGAATACTTGATGCATGCCGCAGTCTGTTTTATCGTAGATGGAATGTTTCACATTAACAGCCAAGACTCTCTACCACACTTCCAAGGTTCTTAGCATTCTTCCACAACCTAATACCAATTCCCCTAAGGCCACACATACAGTAAATACCAAACACTAACATGTTTAGCTCCCACCGTTGCCGCAGACCGAATCCCGTCCTGCCGATCCTGCTCCACACGGGTAAGATGTACACATTGTTGACAGGGGCAACTGTCGCCACCACAAAGCATCGAGAAACTGTTCGAAGTCTCAGCTGAGAAATTTATACTCAATTTAAGCGCCGTATCAAATTGCGTTTTCCTCTCATAATTTGCTCAGTATGCTTCGGGGCACCCAAGGTCTCGAGGTCGGGACTCTACCTAGGTATGGATTTATGCACTTTTTCAATCCACGGCCCTACCAAACCCTTTAATATTGGAATAGAAATCGGCGATCATGAAAGTTCCCTAGTCAGTATGACGTTTGAAATGCACCTCTCCTCGTCTTCTAGAGTTTCTAATTTTGTCTCATCTAGTCCCTAGTCTAGATAATCCTGATATACCCGCAATCACTAGTTGGTTAGCCACTAGGTCGATAGCTGCGATCACGATGTGCAAACCCCTTTTTCATAAAGAAACACCAGAGCCTTCCATTCTTCATCTCCTGCCAAGGTTGATAGACTAATCTTCCCACGCCTGCCTTAGGTCGCACAAGCCGGCTTAGCGTTGAGCTGCAAAAGATTGATGCGCATCTGTGATGATCTTCGCACTGTAGGAAATTTGAATTATATGCGCCCCGCGCTCGATACCACAAAGTGTATTCCAAGGCGGCACCAATGCACATACAAGAGTTCAAGCGGATACTATCATATACGCGTGCAATATCTGTTCTCTCACTTGGACAGAGGAGGTGATATTTGATCTTGAATACTCTATTCATATCAATCACTATAGGCCTTACCGGAGTGCCAGGTGAATCATGCTACGTCCATATATGGATGCTCTCGAGATGATACGGTATGACAACGATCAATTCCCTCCTTATGAGCTGCAAAGTTTGTGACATAGTCCCCTCAATAAAGGTTTCTGATGATCTCACCGAATAAACCTCCTCTTGGGAAGACCTCAAAATAGAAGTGAGCTAAGATATGACTGCAGGGTCTGTAGACCTTCTCAATAAGTCAGTGGTGGTTCTTGCTTGTGGATGAGATTGTCAACCCTCATTCAACAATACTCAAGTATACATGTATATATATAAATAAATATATATGAGAAGAGCGTTGAAGAGGATTCCATTGTACTTCAACTATCCAAGGCAAGCAGTTGAAGTGAGGTTGAAGTGTATACTTTGAAGCGCCAATCACAAGCCCACCGCCGCGTTATCGATCTGCTGCCTTCGGGACCCCAACATCCCAATTCCCCAATTCCCCCAATTCTCCCATTCGCAGTTTCCCTTTCCTCATTGCAATCTCCCAACCTCAAGTGCAACAAGAAGACAACCAAGGTGTCACAAACGGGTTCTCCCCGCCCTCTTACCCATCAAACCAGCTCCGAAAGCTTGAGATTCCTTTACAGCCCACCATGTCGACCTACGAAAGTACGAGCTCTTCAATCATCCCTCAGAGAAACCCACAAAGCTTACTCTCCTCTTCTAGTCGAACACAATACAACCGATCCCTCAACGGCCCAACCCCCACGTCGCCGTCGCCCCGACCTCTCCACCTTCTTCTCTGCCCTTTCCGAGATCACACCCGCCCCAGACCACAGACCCCATGCCGTGCCCGTGCCAGGAGACATCAGTGCAGCATTCTACTCCCTTGCAGAGGCGCTGGAGATGATGCGCCGCGATGCGGGCGCAGAGCCGCACACGCACGCGCAAGAAGACACCGACAACGGCAATACGGATCACAGCAACGATTTGTTGACCACGATGATCCAGTCGCTTCTTTCGCAGGCGGATACACCACCGCGTGAAGTGGAGGGTGTTAATGAGGAATTCTGCGATAGTAAGATGTTTCCCTGGGCTTGACCAGTCCCTCTAAGCGGGGGAATTTCCTCTTTTTTTAGGATCTACTTTGCTAATTATGCTCAATTCCTACAGTGCTCGAACGCGTCCCCAAAGCCCAGCTTAAAGAATCCGATATTTGCCCTATCTGCAATAACCCCTTCGTGGAAGATCCTTACCCGCTCGTCGTGCAGCTGCCCTGTCACCCTACACACCGCTTCGATATGGAATGTGTGCGGCCTTGGCTACGTCTGCGCGGAACGTGCCCGCTTGACCGGGTGGATTTCGCGAAGCAGCAGAGGGAGAAGGCTGAGGCGCGGAAGAAGCTTGTTGAAGAGGATGAGGAGGAGGAGTGGGATGGTATGTATGGCTGAGGGGATGGGGATGGTTCGGAGTTAAGATATGCATACACAAGGACTAGTCATGGTCTTTTGTGACGAAGTGAAGATGAAGTTGACGATGAAGCATACCTGGTTGTTTTGCCTTACTTAGTATGAAGTGAATGACTATCCATGTTTTCCATACTTTGTGTACATTTTGAACAGCATAGAAAGGGCATATTTGGTGGCTGTTGAGAATTTTTGATTTCTGCATCTCTTACCTACCTTCTTGGTACCAGCACATCACTTTACCAACCGAGGAAGGTTTTGATAATGATAACCGCGATACACCACATAGCCATCATTTTCAACCGCGTTGAAGTCCAGATATTCTGATTTAAGTCCCGAACAATAGTCTCGTCATCTTTTCAAGTTACTCTAGCTTGAATTTCAAGGCTATCGTAGACGTTCTCCCGAAGTGACACCTCCGTCTGTGATAGCCCGGTCATGTCGCTGTATCCCTTTGAAGCATATACTGTGGCGAAGGAAACAAGTTATTGCCTTTAAAGGGCCCAAAGATCTCCAGGTCACTTTAGATCAACTTCGCGTCTCAAGATGGCACCGCGATCTTATGCGTCATCCACTTGATTTACATACGAGGTGTCCCCGACACTCGCAGTTCGATTGGATAAACAATATCTGCCGGTAGCTCGTATTTGTAATTACAGTTCAGCACGGAGTCACACCAACGGTCCATTTGCAGGCCATTCAAAAGAGCCCTGGACTTGGCAAGTTGTTGGAGCAAAGGCGCTGCCTGTTGGAGGGGCTGAGGCGTGGCATTATAAGCGGCACCGTACCCCAACTCTTCAAATCTCATCCTTATGCCCTCCTATCTTGACAGTTAAAGATCGTTATCATTTACACCCACAATGTCGGAAACGCAAGACAGCTTGAGCTCATATGATGGCAGTTGCCACTGTGGGCAAGTTAGCTTCACGGCGCAGCTCTCCTCGCCTATAGGAGAGCAGGTTGTCAATACTTGCAATTGTATAGACAGCATTTTCGGGGTTCAGACAGGGGTGATTAATTGCTAATACATTCGATTTTATATAGGCTCGATCTGCAGTATCAACAGTTATATTATGGTTTATGTTCAAAAGGCCAATCTTACGTTCCATAACAGCGACGATGCTGTCAAGGTTCGTATCATGTCTCCCTATTACTCTTGGTTTCCTTTATGTTCTGATCCAAATCGACGCATAACTAACAACTAGAGATAGGAGTACCGCTTCGGAACCATGACATATCCCCACGGATTCTGTCCTAACTGCGGGACTAGTGTCTATCTTCGAGCTCTTGATGGTGAATACAAAGACATTGTGGCTGTGAATGTAAGGTCCACATAACCACAGTTCTAGTATATCATTAGCTTACCGAAGGTGCAGGGACGAACCCTGAAGGATGTCGATATCAGCACACTGAAGATTGAAGAACTCAATGGAAAAAGGATAAATGCCGGCTAGAGAGCAGAGCCATATTGCTTTTAAGTGCGTTATGTGGAGCCAAACATATCTACACCTCGGAGCATGTACAATGTAGGACCTCATGTGGCTCTGTAGACACTTTTGACTCTTCTCATATCACACCAAAAGATGCTAGGTATACAGCGTGCCCAAGAAACCCTCAACTGGCCTCAATATCAATGTTCGACTGCAAATCCTTTCTCATGAATGCTTCCCACAGCAAGATAATCTGCCCGTCTATCCCTTTTTCTTCTGTAATAGGCTCCTCCTTCCAGGCAACATATCCAAGATCCTCATACCACTTTTGAATACTAAACGAAGGCGGAGAAAGTCCTAGTTTCGCCCATACGCCTCGCCATTCTGGTGCCTCATCATAAACATACCGTTTACTCAACGCTGTCAGTGTAATGAATCGACAGCGTGGGTTTCCAAATCGCTCAGTGGTAGCCACATTTTCCACTAACTTTACTGCACGTTTTCCAAGTCCCAGAGAACGATATTCTGGCAGAATGAAGAAAGAGCTGATAGAAAGTTCGGTCCTGTTTTCGGGTGCAATGTCGGGCTCAAGTAATCCAGATGATGCATCGAGTGATATGTGACCGGCGCGGATAGTCTCATTTCCGGCGCTGGGGTGAGGAATGGTGATCCAAAACAATCTTTTTATGTTTTCTTTTTCTTTCCAGTCTTGTAAGGTTTGTAGGTCCGAATCCCATCCACAAATGATGCGCTGCCTTCTGATCTCGTTGAATTGGCTCTCGTTGTGTAGATCGATAGGTACGAGGTAGCATTTTGATGAAGGCAACTGGATTTCCATGGCTAATGGATTGCATGAATGTACAGAGACGAGAAAAGTCAGTGGGATAATGTTTAAATCAACTCTCAGGGGAAGTAAGAACTTAGAATATAGCGGCGATGACTCGATCAAAACACGTGATTTAGGCTTTTTATGTCGTTACTTGAATACTTGGTCAGGGATGGACAAAGAATAGATAGGGGAAAAGAATGAACTTACGGTTATAACAGAACGAAATGCGAATAGCCTACGATGCTACGAAAATTGATCATTTAAAGTTGCGTAAAATGATTTGGTCTAATTTTAAGAAGCTCACCTCAAAAGGTGTTAAGTGCTAGACATAATCCTATAGATATATAATAATGCTTCTAGGCCTAGCTAGCTAGGCTATCACAAGTATACAAGGTAATCCTCCTAAAAAGTAAATTAGAAAAAGGAAGACATAATAGGTTGAGAATGGTGCGAAAGAATTCAAAGATTGATAGGGCTGAGAGCAAGTACTGTAAGCTGTGGTTTATCGAGAGTGTCTGTGTTTGCTAACAAACAAAGGCAAGGCAATAGCTTCATGAAAAGGCATACTATATGTTTTCCAAATATTTTCCTACCGATATTTCTTCGATTCCATTTAAGTATTACGTTGACCCTACAGAACATTATATCAAAGTTTGCCACCTATACGAGCCCCGATTGGTGAGATATAGCATTGTAATTTATCGCATCTAATATGCGCTCTTAATCCCTAAGCATACAACTGGGTGCCATAATAACCCGTAATGTAAAGCTGACACTCGCGAATCCCATAGAGTTTATCCTACAGAGTTTGGAACGAACCATATTGTAGATAACGAATGCGGACGAACCAAAACCTACGTTTCGTCATTATGACATCCAGGCGGTACATATGCTCGCGGATCAGGTGACTCTGTTGCATTGTATAAAGTATGGGTACTTCATTCCGGGTCCATACTTTCACAAAGGCGAATGGATATCGAAAGATTCCCCTGCAGTCGATACGATACCATGGCAGCAACAACCACCACTAGCGTGCGGAGGCTATCCTCCGCCGACGCTAGGCCATGCGATCTATACAGCGGTCCAATCGTGATCGCCCCTCCCGAGAGTATGAAGGCACCGTGCGACGCAGACGGAACTGCCACGCGGCTGGAAAGAGCCAGGAGAAGCATCGATGAAACGGCCGCCGACGGGGCAATCCCCGAGGTTGAACGACCAGACCGAAGCAGTACAGACAAATTCGCGATCGCCTTCGATATCGATGGCGTTCTCCTAAAAGGAGGGAAGCCGCTTCCAGCATCGATCGGTGCGATGAAATACATCAATGGGGACAATCCATATGGAGTAAAGATGTAAACACTTCGCCTCTCTCTCCCGAGATGCACATTCTAACTTCATCCTAAGCCCGTATATCTTCGTCACCAATGGCGGCGGGAAGACGGAAGAAGAACGCTGTATTGACCTCAGTCGCCAGCTACAGATCGAGGTCTCACCTGGACAATTCATCTGTGGACACACACCAATGCGCGAAATGGCCGAGGCGTATCAAACCGTCCTTGTGGTAGGCGGCGAGGGGGAAAAATGCCGCGTCGTCGCAGAGGACTATGGTTTCAAAGACGTGGTTACTCCCGGCGATATCATCAAGTCCAAGCATGACACAACGCCGTTCCGGAAGTTGACAGAGGAAGAGTATCGCAATTCCCGCGATAGAAATTTCGACGAGACTACCATCGATGCTATATTCGTATTCGCTGACAGCAGAGACTGGGCCGGTGACCAGCAGATCATCCTCGATCTTCTGATGTCGAAGAATGGACGCCTAGGGACTCGCTCCGAGACCTTTGACGAGGGTCCGCCTATTTACTTTTCCCACAACGACATCGTGTGGTCCACCTCTCACGAGCACTCGCGCATTGGAATGGGCGCACTACGGACGTCTTTGGAAGCTCTTTACAAGGAACTAACTGGTAAGGAGCTGACTACCGTCGCGTTTGGTAAACCGCAACTCGGGACATTCGGTTTCGCGACAAGACTGCTTCGTGAATGGCGCAAGGAGACGTACGGTATTGATCAATCGCCAGCTACCGTTTATTTCGTGGGCGACACGCCCGAGTCCGATATCCGGGGCACGAATGAGTACAACCAGATCAGTGATACTGACTGGTTCTCCATCTTGGTCAAGACGGGTGTCTACCAAGATAACAAGACGCCGCAATATCCTCCCAGGAAAGTTTGTGAGGATGTCCTGGAGGCTGTCAAGTTTGCTGTTCAGCGTGAGCTGGGCGAGGACTTCAAGTGTTGATTAACATTATTGTAGTTGTCGTACTCGTCGTTTTCGTAACTCATGATGTAGTATCACGATAAGTATTCATAAATAGCAATGCCTATCGTAAAGAGTTCGCAAATCATTGCGATTTTGTGACCGTGTCTTCATAAACTATGTTACAAATCCACGATAGGTATTCTTCGAAAGCATTAGTAAAAGTTCATGGGCATTAAGGACTTGTCTTAGCTTCACCCGAAGGGTTACTAGTCACCAGCACTGCGAAGAAGTGCAAGTCCATCGCTGATGGCCCTACCCACTCCAATCCATCAAGGTGAGCCGCCTCGAAAGATAAGAGTATCGGGTAAGGGCTTTAGGGCTAGCCCACTGCAACCGAGAACGATCTCAAATGTCCAAGCTACCTCGCTACCTATTATGACATAGGTGAGGTAGACATCGAGTCGTCCGGCCTTAGCAGCTTGCGGCCATCGAACCCGGCAACTGCGAAAATTCGATGATGTGGATAGGATCAATTGACCAACGGGCCTCGATCGCATCAACCACTGTCGATTCCTTGCTGGAACCGAGACCGGATTCGAGGTCTGGAGGGCCAGTGGCTGGCAGTCTCGGCCAAAACTGCGCAACCTCTAACTGGTTCCACTCCTTGACAAGAATTATAATTATCATAATTGCTAGACCCAAAACTAGGGTCCTGAGTATCAGAAGGTAGATCTATAGATAGGGATGCATGGTTAGTAGAGGGAGTGTAGGAAATAAATAAGACTGACAGGTAAACAATATAATGCTGCGCAAAGAACCGAATGAGAATGTTTGGATGGATGTCCAAGGTATAGTGGGTCTGTAGGTAATTGTGCTGTGTCAGATGATGAAGCACGATGTGTGATGGTTTGTGTATCGAGGAAATTAACGGCGACTTGGGCTGCTACTTATACCTGGGCCGGACCGTAGCGTGTTCTTCGAGGAATGGATCCATACAATGAAGTTGTAAGCTCTTTGAGTAGAACGACAAAGGGGACAAAGAGGATTCAAATAGCCCAATGAAAGGTATTCTTCGATAAGTCTTCAAAGGATATATAAAGAGGGTTGACAAAGTCTTTATATGCAAGACAACAAAGACTGAAAGATGCGTATATCGTTAAGAGAAACAATGTCTTCATTCGAGAGCACTGCCAGAGGAAATTTCGCAGAGGACAGTCCCTAACAGATGGTGCATTATAGCCGATTTTTGGAGGCTTGCTTTGAAGATGCTTCGGCAGTTTATAGCCTATGTAGAAGATAGAGTTTATGCCATGATCTGCACGCAGAAACGGGAGATGTACTAGGCAGGGTGGCTGGACACGTCCATCTAAAGATGATGAGAAGCGACAAGTAGATAAGCCTATGATTGAAAGGTTAATAATTTCATGTAATCATTTAGTAAAGCTACCTAGGTAATCTGGGAAGCTGCCTCCTCTACGTACAATTCGTCACACAGAACAATCATCAGAGTTCCGTGACACGATCTTTCTGACGAATAGCCAACTTGCCCGCCTGGTTAATCATAGCCTCATATCCACTCCTCTCAAGCACACCACCGTCATCCTTAACAACCTCACGAGCCTCGAGTTCCTCAACAAGACGCTGGTTTTCACGGTTGCCCTCGAGCAAGAACTTGAGGCACATCACGGCATGTTCCTTGATGTACGGATTGTGAGCGTCGAACGCAGTGCAGCAAAGAATCGCCTCGACACCGCCGTAGCGACGGATCTGTTCTTGTACTTCGGGACACTTCCACACAAGGGATGAAAGGACCAGGACCACCAGCTTCTTGAGATTGCGCCACTCGAATTCGGAGGGGTCTTCGGTGATGGGCGGAGACTCAGGACGGGAGTCTACGCTGCCACCGCCGTTGTCAATGGGATCTGGATCGCT